AATAAAGGTAAACATGAGGCTACATATACTTGTCAGGGAGTAAAGACTAAAGGTGGAGATGAATTCTTTCATTTAGTACACAAGGTGTAATGAGGAGAAATAGGATGGAACAGGGACGGAAAATTTAGATTGATTGTCCTAGGAAAGCTTAGACTCAAATCTTTTAGGTCATGGAATAATCTCCCAGTGGAGGTGGCAAAAAAACCATTACTTGCATGTTTTAAATTAAACTGGACAAAACATTGGAAAACATCCTGTAGGGAACATCCCATTTGAGCCAGGGGGCAGGACTGGATGGATGATTTTTGTCTGTTCTGTTTCTAATGCCTGTAATATGAGGGAAGAGCAGAAAGGGTGTCACATGATTCCACTTGTGAAAATAAATGAATTAGAGTAGTTGAATAAATGTAGGGAAGAGCCATTCCTTTTGTTATAGACAGGAGCCCATGGAGAGAGGGATGATGTACTAACCACTGCCAGTTATACCAGGGACATTCTTCTGTTAGGGTTGCCAACTTTCTAATTGCACAAAACCGAACACACTTGCCCCACCCACTTCCCCAAAGTCCCGCCCCCCACTCACTTCATCCCCCCTCCCTCTGTCACTTGCTCTCCCCCACCCTCACTCACTCATTTTCACTGGGCTGGGGCAGGGGGTTGGGGTGCAGGAGTGGGTGAGGGCTCCGGCTGGGGGTGTGGGCTCCGGGGTGTGGGCTCCAGGGTGGGGCTAGAAATGAGGGGTTCAGGATGTGTGCCCCCAGGCTGGGGCAGTGGGTTGGGGTGTGGGAGGGAGTGAGGACTCCAGCTGGGGGTGCGGGCTCTAGGGTGGGCCAGGTTTGGTGTGCAGGAGGGGGCTCCGGGGTGGGGGGTGGGGTCGAGAGGTTTGGAGTGTGGGAGGGGGTTTCGGGCTGAGGCAGGGGGTTGGGGTGTAGGAGGGGGTACAGACTCTGGGATGGGGGTGTGAGCTCTGGGGTGGGGCAGGGATTGGGGTCCGGGGTGTGTGTGCGTGGGGTGTGGACTCCAGGAGGGTGTTTGGGTGCAGGAGGGGGCTCAGGGATGGGGGTTGGGGTGTGGGAGGGCGTACGGACTCCGGCCAGGCAGCGCTTGCCTCATGTGGCTCCTGGAAGTGGCCACATTTCCCTCGGCCCTTAAGCGGAGGCACAGCCAGGCAGCTCTGCGCATTGATTCCGCCTGCAGGTGCCGCCCCCGCAGCTCCCATTGGCCGTGGTTCCTGGCCAGTGGAGATGCGGAGCTGGTGCTTGGGGGCGGGGGGCTGCGCACTGAGCCCCCCTAGCAGCGCCTTTGCCTAGGGGCCACAGGGACATGCCAGCCGCTTCTGGGGAGCCATGCGGAGCCAGGTTGGTAACCTGCCAGCCCCGCTGCACCACCAGCTGGACTTGTAACAGCACGATCAGTGGTTCTGACCGGAGCTGCCGGGGTCCCTTTTCCACCAGGTTCTCTGGTCGAAAACCGGACACCTGGCAAACCTATTTCCTGTGCTACAAAGAAGCTTACCATCCATGAAGTGAGATGACCCATTCATACGCAGGCAGCAAAAATCCAAATGTGGGGACAGGGAAACACATGGAGTCTGAATGGCTGCTAATCAGTAACACAGGTGCTCCAGGTCCCCGGGTGCAGAGGGCTGTTAATTGCTGCCTGTGCACCAGTACATTGGTTCCAGCGAGCTCAGGGCTATCTCTGCACTGCTTCTTACTGTGCTTTGGAGTTGGGGGTGCCAGCAATTACTGTGATAGGTAGTCTCAGGACATTCATATTTGCAGGGAGGGGGAGTCTGTTATCTGCCCAGCATGATATTGCAGTCACATGTGCCACATGGGAGCCAGGAAAAGTACCAGAATATCTGGTGAGCAGTTTGCTAAAGGTTGGGTAGGGGCTGCATTGGTAAGATTCAGGCACAAAATGTCATTCCTGCTCAGTGTGGTGTTGTGTACCCTTCCTTCTAGCCCCAAGCTCTGGATGCTTCTTAAATCTGAGCTGTAACTGCTCTGTAGGCTTCTGACCCTTCCGGGGATTTCTCAACAGGTGGTTCAGATTAACTCCTCATTAAAAACCTTCTGAGCAGCACCCTCATTAAGGAGAAACTGCGGAAATCCTGGCAGAGAACATTCAGGGGACGAGGGGAAGGGGCACGAGCTGTGGGAGGCCAAGGGGACCAGTCTTCCATCTCCTTATGTTGATTGAGTATCCTGAGATGGCCCATTTCAGAAGCCAACGTGAAAGGCAGAACCTAGGGTTGGTGATGCTATGTCTCGCAGTGCCCTCTGTAGGAAGGAAGGAGGTGGTTACATTAGAATTGCAGAAAAAAAATCCTTGCCAACTATTGGTTCAGAAAGTTTTACTTCTGTTCCGTGCTGGCATTTCTCATTCCAAACAGGTGTGCAAGGAGACACGTTCCAACACACAACCTGGCTGCCTGCTTGGGTGTCTGTGGCCTGATTTCCAAGATGAGCACCCATAGCTCTGGCTGACTTCATTGGAAGTTGCACGCACTCAGCCCCTCTGAAAATCAGGCCACTATCCATCTAGAACATCTTAAAGCGCCCATCTTATAACTGCTGTAATAAGACTTCTTGAGCAGGCCCGGTCAGACTGCCAGAGCCACTGGGAACAAATGTTGTTTTGGGGTGGCTGTATGTTGGAATCGCAGTGCTCATTGTGTTGGGTTGGTGATTTTCCTGTTTTCCTCTTAACTCTCACCAGAATGGCACCAGATCTGCTGTGGGGGGCACCTTCGGTTTGTTTAAAACTCTTGTATGCTCTATAATCACTGTTTTCTGTCCAAAGGGTGGTGTAAGTCCTGTGGCTGCTGTCTCCACATTGTGGGGAGATACTGAATGTCATAGGAAAGATAAGTGCACTTGGGCTAGCTCTGAAAACGGTCTTTTGAGAACTGCAGGCTAGATGTTTTGCCAACACCTCCCGAGAACACATTTATATGCATGACCATAACCGTTGTGCATATAAATGTGGAGACTGAGAGAAGAGAGGATCGTATTAATAGCTTAGCATCTGCAGAAATGGTGTCTGGTGAGGCACACACATTGGCTTGGATTCACTGTCATGTGAATAAAAAAACTGGCTGATGCATCATAAATAAAATCTGCTATGGACTTGCCACTCTTGGTCACCCTTTGTCTTATTGTCTTCGTACATGTTAGCACGCTAATGACATTAGCACATGCTAAACAGGGAGGCGGTTTGAACCTCATAGAGGGTAGAGACATGTAAGGAGACTGAGAATCTAAAAATATGGGGCCCAGTTGTGTGCACGCTTATGCATGTGAGGAACTTGACTCACATGAGTAGCCCTATTTGATGTCAGTGGGATTACTCTCACCTCTACATTTATATATGCTCCTGTTTATAGGATTGGGCCTCTGGTCAGATCACAAAGCTAAGAGACCTCCAGGTGATAGAGGAAGTTAAATTAGAGAGACGTTCGTGTTTTGATATGGCAGTGCAGCTCTGAACCTCATACAAAGAGGCATCGTCCCATGGAACAAGGAGCTGATACTCCCTCTCTTTGCTGCTCTGTTGTGACTGCACTTGGAGTATTGGGTTCAGTTCTGGGCATCCTGAGACTAGGAGGATGTAGACCCACTGGAGGGGATTCTGAGAAAAGCAGCTACAGTGACTGAGGGCTAGAAGGGTTGACTTATAAGGAAACAGATCTATTTTTAGATTGAATATCAAGAGATATCGGCTAATAGTGGGATGCATAAACCCATGGAATAGTTTCCCTTGGAAAGTGACAGGAGTCCTGTTGCTTGTGATATTACAACTGGGCAAAGACCTTACACTGTAGGAAGAGTCCTGTAGTGGCTGGGGAAATGGACTACATGTTGTAAAGGGTCTTTACCATCTCTAATTGCTGAGATTCTATGCTAATTCCCCTGGGATGCAGGCAGTGAGTCTGGCAGGATTAATTGGGTACTGTAGCCCTTTGGGGATTCTGAATCTTAATAACTGAGATCACTCCATGGAGTAAGGTAAGGCCCAAAGGGTTCACTGCATTCTGGTCAGAACAGAACAGGCGTTTCTGTTTTTTCTTCAGTGTGCACTTTAACGTGGGATCCACTGGTAATGCTGTAAAGCACCCCAGGGCCCTGACTAAACAAATCTCTGTAACTGTGGTATGAGTCTACTGGTGGGCAACATGAGGTGAAGAATAATTCCCTCTAAAGTACTGTTGCTGCTGGAGGCAGCGAATAGGGGATAGTGTGGGGTGATTCTCCAAGGAGCATTGCTACAGGACATTGCTAAATAGCATTTCAGGAAAGAAAAAAAAATGGAGGCACTTACAATATGTCTGGGTTCACTGTACAACCTTTCAAGCCATTTATCAAAGCACCCGCAGGTCCTATTTCCAGGCAGGTGAAACAGTAAAGCAATAGTGATCGAGGTGCAGGGCTTTTTCTGGGGATTAATGGTGGGCAAGGAAAAGTTGATGGCCTGAGAGGCAGCTGAGGGACCCCATCTGATCATTAATCTTCAGGAAATGCCTTGTGCCTAAGTGATTGTTGCTGTTTATACCCTGAGAATTGAGGCGGAGAGCCTATGGGCATATGGGTTATTTCCAAGTGTGATAGTTTCCCTTGGTATGTTCAGGGCATCTGTGCTCTGTAGAACTGTCAGTGGGATGGGAATGTTGATGAATGATCCAAGCATTCGGCTTATAATGAAATCAAGCAAATAAAGTTTTTCCCATGGTGCCTTTTCCCCGGTGCCATATGTGTGCATGGCACTTCACAGATTAATAAGAGGATGTGGTACCTGCTCCGTGGAATTTACAGTCTAACTGGATCACACACACTAATTACAACGTGCCAGGGATCGAGGGAGAAGGAACTGGGACGGGATAAGAACTGTACACAGTGGGAGGAGAATACAGCTCATAGAGTGTAGCCTTTCTGACAGAGAGATTGTATGTGTTTTTGTTTCCATCACTTATTGTAGTTACATTTTTAAGTCTCCTTCAAAGTAAATCTGCAGCTGATCAGATCCGTAGAAGCCAGTGCCACCTTATGCTTACGCCCGTTACAATTTCATATGTGGCCTTTTATCCCAGGCGACTCCAAGTGTGCTCAGCAGGATGGAGAAGCAAAGGCGCAGGGAGGAAGAGGAGGAGCGCCAAATCCTTCTGGCAGTGCAGAAGAAGGAGCAGGAACAGCTGCTAAAGGAGGAGAGGAAGAGGGAGATGGAGGAGAAGGTCAAAGCAGTGGAAGGTACCTGTAATTGCTGTGTGAAGTGGAGGTGTGGACATTGAAAGGGCCCCTGATGGGGTTGTTAAACTGAATTGAGATATATCCTTTGTGCTCCTTCCATGCCATAGACTCCTTCATATACGTCCAAGATGGAATCAGTGATTGTGTTACTTCAGAAGTGGGTTTGTTATTCTCTGGCCTCTTCTTGTTTGGCCGCCTGTATTCCCTTTTCCTTATCCCTTCTCCCTCCTTGTCCTCTTGTATCCCCTTCAGCTCTGTCTTCCTCCTACCACCCTGGCTTCATCACTTTCCGAAACTCTGTCCTTTCCTCCTCCCTACTGTTTATGCTCCTCTTGCAGTTCCCTGCCCCTCTTCTGCCTCCCCACAGACAACCTGCCCAGTTGGGTTTTCATTGCCTCTGAGCAGCACTCGTTCCATTCTGCCAGAAGCATGTGGACAGAAACGCTGCAAGGTGGAACCGCCTTGCCAAGGGGGAAGGGTGGGTGCTGCAAGAGCAGAGTTTCCACACTGATGTGGGCCATTAAACGGCGATCTCATAATTCAGGGTCCAGACTGGACCAAGGGTTAAAAACTAGGTTGTGCAGGGGACAACTTTAGAAGCTTTTCCAAGTACTAGTTCATGCTGTCCACGCACTGTTGCCAACAGATAACTGTTTGGGGTTTAAGCAGTCAGAGGATGTGAACACTTGTCATCAGACAGGTGTGCGTTGGCACTAGAATGTCACAGGAATAAGTTGGGGTCTGAATGCCCTTCTGCCTTTCAGCTGAGTTACCCGGATTCAGTTATTTGCTGTGGTTTGAGTCTATTTGCAATTTATCCAACTCCTCAGTCTCCCAGCTGAACAGAAATGACTCTTGCTTTCTTCCTGCCCCTCTTCCCATTGCAGTAATTCTGAGCTAAAGGACCAGCAGGAAGTGTGAGCTTGAGAAGTCAGAGGTGGTACAGGTGTGGGGAGGACAGTGTTTTTCTGGGCTTAATGTAGCATTGTCAGGTTTCATTTCACTCTTGCTTTGGGCTGCTGCAACCGGGTGCAGGGGGAGTCAGTCATTTCATCTGGGGACAGAAATGCTAGATCTGTGGTTATCACAACAAATGACTAGGTTGCTGCAGTGCCAGGAAGACCCAGCATGTCCCCAGAAAACGGCTCTGGATGTAAATGTCTGGGGTAGTAGAAGTGCTTGTGAATCGTTTAAGATGATACAGAATTAGTATAACAAAAAGAAAAACTAAGTACACAAAACCAGTAAACTTTCCAATACAGAATAGTCTGCTAACCAGATGTTTGGCAGTAGGCCAGATATCCTGTAACAGAGTAGCTTTTTCTACCTGCCACCCTTTAGTCTTTTAAAACCCAATTACACAGATGGCCTTTATACGTCTCTAGTTGTCAGTCCTAGCTAATCTAGTCAAAATCTAGTGCATTAACCATAAATCCATTCAATTCCAGATCTACCACAGACTTCCTGTGTCACTTTGGCAAGTGACCTAATTTCCTGTGCTTCAATTCCCCATCTGTAAAATGGGCATAATACTTCTCTACATCTCAGTTGTTGTGAGGATAAATCTGCAAATACATGGGAGATGCTCAGATACTGCTTTGATATCAGCCATATATGTACCTAGATTGATAAATGGAATCACTGCATTATCTGATGGTGTTAGGCCTTGTCTACACACAAAATTTGCTCTGGGTTAGCTTAAATCTGTTTTTAAAAACAATTTAATTAAACTGGTGTAAATTTCTGTGTGGACTGTCTCATTTTGGTTTAAGAGTGGCTTATTTCAGTGTAGTTTAAAGCTGCTCCCAATTAACTTAAGCCAAATCAAAATAAGTTTGTCTTAAACCAAAATAAGTGTCCATGAAGTCTTATTGCACTGGTTTAACTAAACTGAATTAAAATCAAATCTTTAGTTAAATCAGTGCATATTTTTTATGTACACTAGGCCTCAGAAACATCAGTTATCCAGGTAATATTTTAGGTTTTCCACAGTTCACTTTATTACTAGACACAGTCTCAATGACAGTAAATCAAGTTTTTCTCTGGGAAAAGAGTTTTCATGACAGATCAGCAATGACCCTAAGATGAAGTAGTTTATTTTGTAAAACTGGATGTTCACATACACAGGTTTTCAGGGTTACAAAGATTATGAACTTTATGGTTCATCTTAACTGAATTCTGTAAGAGGTCCTGCAATGACAGAAAACTGGAGAATGAAGCATTTGTACCATCTAATGAGACTTCACCTGCTTTTCAGTTTCAGGCTGCGGGCGTACGTAGATCCATCTGTACCTTGTCAATCTGGTATTTTGCTAGCCCCTTCTTTAGGTTTATAACCCAGATGGTGAACCTCTGCTGGGCCCATCTGCATTTCCCTGGATTTATGGTTTCAACCAGCTTTCTGGATTTCCACCAGAATCGCTGTTAGAGGTTTCAAGTGCTCCTCTCACATGGCACTATGTATCACCTAGCTATGTCATTGGAAAATTATGAAGTACCTTTGGGACACTGGCAACCTTTCGGAGTTTGATGGGTAGTGCCCCGTGTAGGCCAAAAGCGTGCCAGTGAATTAAAACAGTCCAATTGTGATCTTAATGAAAAGCATCATCAGATTTAGACAGCTTCCCAAAGCCTACACAAAGTGAACACTCCCATTTTTCTTGGACACTATCGCTACAAGGCTTGTCCATTTGGTATTAAATGGCTCAGTTACTCCTAGGTCATTCATTTTCCTTAATTCATCGTACGGGTATCCATTGTACCTTTGGTCTCAGTGACCCTAATCCTGTAAAAAGTGATTAAGGTAGTTCTTGCTGGATCAATTTAATGATCCAGCTGTATACAGGAATATATGTTGGGATTGCTCTATTCCAGGTTCAAAGATAAGCCAGGTGGATTCCTCCTTCTCATCTTTCTGACCAGGCCAACTTGGATCCAAGGCCTTTCCTTCCCCTTTGATCTTCTGGATCAGCTCACAAGATGTAAATTCCCCTTTTGATTCCTTCCACATATGCCACCTTTCCTGGTTTCCCATATACAGTAGGTCCTCTGGAAAAAAGTTGTTTCTCTGTAGCCAAAGACCCAGTTACCACACATGATATTGGACAGCCTGCTACAAGTTGTGGTATTCTAAGTCAGGATACACCAATTCTATGTTAGAGGGGATGTTTATCAGCCATACTTACTTTCATCAAAAATTTACTGGTCCTTAATTTCTATTCAGAACTCCAGAAATCCATGTAATCTCCATGTACACAGCACAATTCCAAGATGTTGCTTACATCCAGACCTTTAGTGAGGATCCATTTGTGGTGGACAAAGGTCTATGCACTACCTGTATCAAGGAGGCCTCTGAACTTCCTCCCATTTAGGAATCACACACATCTGGATGCCATCACCCAAATAGCTGGTATTAAGATTCCTCCTGGGAAAAGACACAGGTTCATCATCCATGACATTGTTCACTGGAGAGTACCTTGCTTTATGTCACATTTGGTCACAGTAAAAGTATACCTTGTTTTTTATATCCATTCCACCCCTGTAGTATCCAGGTTTATTTTACACCAAGTGCCCTCTCTCCCCTTCCCTATTTTTGCACCTTGAGTGCTAGCCAGAGTCCTGTAAGGGTAAACTTGAAAACTCTTCACCATTCTTTGTTCTGACATACACCCAGGTCTGAAACGACTCCTGAATGATAATGTCCAGTATCTCCGCAGTGGATTTCTTTGGATGTAGCAATTGTGTTGTAGAATTAATCAAGTTTTTCTCAGGGTACTGCTTCTGATGGACCCTTCAGCAGTATTCAGAGACCAGACCCTTCTCTTAGGTTAGCAGTTTTTTCTTAGGAGTAGTCACTGGGGTGTCCTCATGTGATGCAATAGACCTCAGGTGCCTTCTCAGATAATGGGGTACCAGGAAAGGAATCCACCAGCTCTGTGGCTGGTCACAAAATATGGCCAGCGACACAAAACAAAGTCAATTCCAACATCTTCCCCCTTGTGGTTCTGGGAAAGTTTAGGAGGCTTTTGCACCATCCTTGATGGACATTCTTCCTCAAAAACATACCTTTGAAGTCAGGAATGGTGCTCCTGGTGTCAGTGGGAGTAAGATAGTTCAGAGACATTCATTCTCAGTTTTTTCTCTTCATCCCTTTTTACCTCCCTCCTTAGTTGACAAACTGGAATGTAGCAATAGCTTTCCTTCAGAGTGTGGCACTTCTTGAGCCCTGCTCATCTTTTACTGCCTTAGTCTCGTGTCACTTTGGCCCTTTAAGAACAATTAGAAAAGGGACGTGAAGGCTGCCATCTCACGGGACAGGCCTGAGGTGCAGAGGCTGTAGGAGGCAAATACACCAGAATCTCCTCCAGTCCCTCATCTTCTGCTATCCTTTCTTTGGGTCTCCACCTTACATTTCCAAGTCTCTGGTATTCTCCTCTGTGGGAGATCCCACCTTCATACCATATGTGGGTTGCTGCAGTGACCAAGGAAACAGAGTCTTCTCAGAAAACAGTTCTGGAGACATAATCTTGGTACAAAACGTGCTTGTGAATTTAAGTGCACGTAGAACTGGTAAAAGAAAAAGAAAACTAAGCTCACACAAAACCAGTAAACTTCCCCATCTGAAACAGAACAGTGGCTAACCAATGTCTGGCTGCAGACCAGAGGTGGTCTGAAAGTAGCTCCTGCCATCCCTGCCACTGACTTCTTAAACCTCAGCAACACAGTTGGCCCAGTCAGTTAAGTGGAAATTTGTCTGGAAACAGGCTAGCAGCAGCTTTGCAACAGTGACACTGCAAAATAAGTTGTTGTTAAGGTGGAAAGGAGGAAAGGCAGGTGTGGTGCTCCTGTATTCTCTGTTTCCTTGCTGCTGCCATTTCTGGAGGGATGACAGCGTTTACTGGGTAAAGCCCTTGGCTGTCGGACACAACAACCTCCTGAAATTGGCTGCTGAATAGCCTCCTTAGTTTTCGTGTGTGATGTTACTGATGCGGGGTAAGAGGGCTAAACGGCTTTCTTTCTCCCATTGCAGAACGAGCCAGGAGGAGGAAGCTCCGGGAAGAACGGGCTTGGCTTCTGGCCCAGGGGAAGGAGCTTCCCCCAGAACTTTCCCACTTGGATCCCAGTTCTCCTGCCAGGGAGGAAAGGAAGACCAAGGATCTGTGAGTACATTGCAGTGTGTGCAACAGGCCTGTACATTCATACGCTTTCAGGGTAGAGGGTAGGAGGAATGTGGCCAGTGATAAAGTAAATGGGGTGGGTGTTAATAAGGACGTTGAGGAGGGGATTGAGGTGGGAGGAACGTCTGAGGGGCGTAGAGTGCAGTACAGGAAAGGGGGTGTCCGTTTGAATGAGTGTTCATAGTGTGGATGCACGTACGGGTTCTTCTGCAGAACCTTACTGTTGGGAGCACCAGGTATGGGGTGGAGGAATGATGAAGATAAGAGTGTGTGTATTCATTATTGCACTTCCCATTTGCAGCTTTGAACTGGATGATGAGTTCACCGCCATGTACAAAGGTCAGTCTCCTACTCTCGCCTTTCACTTCGCAGGAGTTAAAAATAACTGAATGTCTGCCTGGCTGTGCGTAACAGTTTCTCTTCCTTTTGTTGCGGTCAGTTCTAGATGTGGTAAAGGCTCACAAGGACTCTTGGCCCTTCTTGGAACCAGTTGATGAATCATATGCTCCAAACTACTACCAGATCATTAAGGTAGGCAACATGGTCCAACCCGCTCCGTCGGTCTTGCATGTGACTCTTTGGATTGGTAGAAAGCTAGGTCTTTAGTCAGTTCTTTGTAGTTCTTTGGCCATGTGTTATGCAGGAGGTCAGACTAGATGATCATAACAGTCCCTTCTGGCCTCTTTGGGAAGCTAGTAACACCACCTTCTGGGCCTCTCTCATGCTTGTTGTAATTGAAGGGAGATCTTGATGTGTTTCAGGCTCCCATGGACATTTCTAGCATGGAGAAGAAGCTGAATGGAGGTCAGTACTGCACCAAGGAGGAGTTTGTGGGTGACATGAAGACCATGTTCAGGAACTGCCTAAAATACAATGGTGAAGGCAGCGGTAAGAGCAATGAGAAAACTTGTTCCATCTATTGATAGCTCTTGGTGGTCAAAAAGCCCTACCCTCTACCTAGTCATCCATAGCTGGCTCGTACTGGACACCAGAACTCTTTCTGGATACCTTCTGAAGGGTGGAGGTGACAGCAGGAGTTCATGGATAGTAAGGCCCCAATTCAGCAAGGTTCGTAAATGTATCTGTAATGGTAAGCACATGACCAGTCACATTGACTTCAGTTGGGGCTACCCACACACGTAAAGTTATGCATGTACTTAAATACCTTGATAAATTGGGGCCTATTAACTGTACCAAAGGATCTAGTCTAGTTGGGCAGAGTGCAGTAGGTGCGAAGAAAAAAGACCCTTCAGGAGTTTGCTGTCTTGTATGTGTGTGTTCTCTGTGTTATGGGGATGGTATCTGAATTACAGGGATTGTGTGGAGGGCAGGAGTATGCTTAGCCCTGAGCGTCTTTAAAGTAAAACTACGGGAGGAACACTGTGTGTGTGCAGCCTTTTGGAGGGGAATGGTATTCTTAGGTTCTCCTTTGAGTCTTGGATCAGCAGCGCGAGTCAAGTGGTGGGAGGCCCTGGGACCATCAGGACTCCCCATTGCTATGGCAATTAAAATCAGGTGCCTCACTGAGATGAAACATGCAGGTTTCCAGTATGGGAATATTGCAGGCTCTGTCTCGCCAGCACCTGCCAGTGTCATCCGGTATAACAGAGAGTAAGGAGTTTAGATCCCTCAAGCGTTGTCCCCAAGTGAAAGTGAATTCCAACATCACAGAGGGACGAGATCTCTCTGTTCTTCCTCGAGTGCTTGCTCATGTCAATTCCATTCTAGGTGTGCGCACGCCCACGTGCACAGTCGTTAGAGATTTTTGCCTTAGCGGTATCATAGGGTCGGCTGTGGTGCCCCCTTGAGTGCCGTGCTCATGCGTAGGTATATCAGGTGCTGCCGGCCCTACACCCTCTCAGTTCCTTCTTGCCTCCCGTGGTGGTTAGTTGGAGCACCTCTCCTTGCATAGCAAGGGCTAGTGGTTTCGTCTCTTCTGACTTTGAGCCTTAGGACCTTGTAAATAGTTATTTATAGTAGTTAGTGTTAAGTAGTTGTTAAGTGTAGTTAGAAGCTAGAGTCCCAGAGGGGACTTTGCCCCAGGCGGGGCATGCCCTGGTCTCTGGGGTTTAAGCCCTGCGCGGACTATAACAAGCCTATGCCTGTAAGTGATCCCTGCAGCAACTGCCTTAAGTGCTTGGGGGAATCACATGTGAAGGACAAGTGTCGAATTTGTAAACATTTTCAACCCAGGACTCAGAAAGAGCGGAATATTTGTTTGAGGGCTCATCTCATGTAGGCTGCTCTCCGTCCAGCTTCTGAGCCATCCTGCCATGACTTGACTCCAACTACCTCGGCCTTGGTGCACAGCGCACCCCCGGCACCGGGTTCTGCCAGGCACCGCTCTCCGTTGCTGGTACCCAGAAAGAAAACTAAGAAGCACAGCTCCCCGGCACTGGGCAAGAAAGGCCATGGGGCATCAGGAAAAATACCCAGTTCGGGCTGCCCGGCCACTCCGGAGCCACGTGGACCCAAACTTGTGGCAACATCGATGCCTTCCCAAGTTCCCCCAGTGCCGAGAGAGCAGAGGTCTCTGCCCGCGCCGCCGGCACCGCACATGCCGCAGGAGGCGGCAAAGGCTCCCTATGTGGGCAAGCCAGCCGCTAAGACCCCCCAGGGGCCAGTGGAGCACCACCAATCCCCCCGAGCCAAGGCAGCGCTCTCCGTCTCCACGTTGCAGATCTCCGGCATCACAGCCCAGATCCTCTGGGGCTCACCCTCGATCACCGGCACTGCATTCGCGGTCCCTGCCATCTCAACACGGATTACCTAGGGCGAGGCAGCTGTCTCTGTACAACCGGCACCATTCGCCCTCCCACTGGTCGTCCTCTCGGCGCAGATCTTAGTCGCCTGCCCTGTGGGAATGCTCCCCATTGCGATACTGGTCCCCTCGGTACCAGCACTGCTCCTCCTCCAAGCACTGGTCTCTGGCGGCGACAGTCAGCAGAGCAGGCAGACACAGGCATCGGCAACCTCGCCGTGGTCACCAGAAGAGGATTTCTCTAGCACAGAAGGGCAGTTTAGCCCCTCGCCGAGACTCCACCGACACAATTGGGCACCTGAGGCTGCGTCGACGTCTACGGTGCTGCCTTGGCAGCATGGCCAGGAGCCAGCGCAGTGGCCTTATTGGAGTGCGTGGGGCATGCCGGTGATAACGATGCCCCCTTCGCACCGCTAATCTGCCGTCACCTCGGAGCAAAAGTTGATGGCACTGGGCTCGGTGCGTGAAGCACACTCGGAGATCAGGGTAGAGGAGACAGCGCCCACCCCAAAACCTCCTTCCCCCGTGGGGGATGATGCCCCGGAGCCTCCCCCAGCGGTACAGTAGTCATCCTCATCCCTGGACGAGGTGGTCACGGGACCCTTGGGCCAGTCTGCTGGACAATTTTAAAGAACACCAGACCCTGCTTCGACGGGTGCCTGAGAACTTGGGCCTAGAGATGGAGGAGATGGCCAAGCAGGTGGACAGCATGTTCAATGTGCTCTACCAGTGCATTACAGGGTCCTGAAAATTGCCAAGGCCCTGTGGCAAACCACTTCGTCCATCCCTCTCACCTCCAAAAGGGCCGAAAAGAAGCACTTTGCCCCAGCCAAAGGATTCAAGTACCTTTATGCCCACCCACCTCTGGGCTCGCTGGTCGTCTCTGTGGCTAACGAGAAGGGGCATACCAGTTCAACTCCCAGAAATAAAGGGTCCAAAAGACTGGACTTTTTTGGGAGAAAAATGTAAACAATAGCCAGCCTGCAATTCCGGGTGATGAACCACCAGGCCCTCTTGGGTAGGTACAATTTTAACTTACGGGACTCCCTCTGTAAGTTCAAGGAGTCACTCCCACAGGGTTTGGCCCAGGAATTTGGCACCCTGGTAGAGGAGAGCACCGCAGTGGCTTGGTGTTCCCTCCAAATGACGTGGGGCGCAGTGGACTTGGCAGCTAAGATGGTCACGTTGGCAATGGTCATGAGGCACAGCCCCTGGCTTTAGACCGCCGGCCTCTCCCAAGAGATACAGAGCTCGATCCAGGACCTCCCATTCGATGGGAATGGACTTTTTGCAGAGCAAAGGCCACGAGGCTGCATGGGTTAAAGGACACCCAGACCACCCTTCACTCGCTGGGTATGCATATGCCGCAATCTGCAAGGAAGCAGTTCTGGCCACCCCCGCTGCCAAAGCCTTGTCAGCCTTGTCGGGGTCTGCAAGGTGAAGGGCTAGAGACACGAGTATTAGTCATCGCCACCCTTCCAACTCCCACTCATCCGCACAGCTCGGCCCAGCTAAGCATCCAGGGAGCCAGAAGTGCTCATTTTGAAGGTGCACTTGAGAGCGACACCCCAGTCAACTCCCTGGATCCACCTTGTTCTTTCCTCAGCCGTTTTCATCCCTACCGTTCGGTCTGGTCGTGGGTCACCTCAGACCACTGGGTTCTGGACTTAGTATCTCAGTGCTATGCCCTGCAATTTTCAGCCGCCCCTCCCTCCGAGCCCCCCTCTTCCCCGTTCTTCTTCAGGGACCCTTCTCTCAAGCAACTCCTCATTCAAGAGGTCGAGAACCTACTGCACCTGGGGGCGGTGGAGGAGGTCTTCCAGGACATGAAAGGAAAGGGGTTCTATTTCCGCTGCTTCCTAATCCCGAATGCAAAAGGGGGCCATGGACCCATTCTGGACCTGTGTCACCTCAACAAGTCTCTCAGAAAGTTGAAGTTTCGCATGGTCTCCCTGGCCTTGATCATCCCCTCCCTGGATCCGGGAGACTGGTATGCCGCCATCGACTTGAAGGTTGCATATTTCCATATTCCAAGGTGTGACAAAATGCCCAATGTTGGTATGGTGGGTCCCGCACTTTTCTTGGGGGGGGGGGGCGATGTTTCTAGGATGCCACACCTTGCCCATGCTCTTGGGGTGCCAAGGGCCCCACTAGTGGCCTGGGAAGGTGGTAGAGGAGGGAAGCGGGGATGGGGAGTGGGTTTGCTCCTCACTCTGAGCCCCAGCCCCTTTCAACCCCTGCGGGTTTCTTACCCTCTTCCTGCTTGGGTAGGATTACCCTCGGTCCTTGATGCTGGTGGAGGGAGTCTCCCTGCCCTGCTGGGGCAGGGTCTCCCTTCCTCCGGTTCTCTGGTCTTTTAATTCTTATCAACACACCTGCAAACTCCAGTCCTCTCTCCTTCCTCGCTCCACACTGTCTGAAGCAGGGTTTTTTTATTAGGTTCCTGACAGGGCCTTAATTGCCTACAGGTGCTCCAATTAACCTGTAATAACCTTCCCTAGTCTACAGGGAATAGGGTGACCAGATGTCCCGATTTTATAGGGACAGTCCTGATTTTGGGGGCTTTTTCTTATATAGGCTCCTATTACCCCCCACCCTCTGTCCCAATTTTTCACACTTGCTGTTTGGTCACCCTAACAGGGAACCACACCTTAATTAGCCATGGGCTTTTATATCTCCCCTCTACCACTCTCCCACTGCTCCCTGGCTTTGCTGTATCAAAGATCACAGGCGATTCCTCCATTTCACAGTGGGCAGACTCCATTTTCAATTCATGGCGCTGCCCTTTGGCCTCTCATCGGCCCCAAGGGTGTTCACAAAATGTATGGTGCCAGTGGCTGCTTACCTGAGACATCGAGGGGCCCAGGTCTCCCCATATCTCAATGACTGGGCTCATCAAGGGCAGGTCCCGGGAACAAGTACAAAGGAGCCTCGATCTGGTGTGTTCCACCTGCCGGGACCTGGGCCTTTTGATAAAAGAGAAAAAATCCACTTTAACGCCACTCCAGTGAATAGAGTTCATTGGGGCATTTCTCGACTCCACGTGAGCCATAGCCTTTCTTCCCGAAGTATGTTTTCAGGCCATGTCAGACATGATCTCCCATGTGAAGAACCACCTGCTCACCAT